GACCGCCCCGTTGGGAATAAAAACATGGACAGGAAACACGCAGCCTTAATTCGACTGTGTTAGAAAAGATGAACGGGAAAGAGGCCGGGTCAGATCCATCAGCAGCAATAAAATGAAGGTCAAACAGAGTGACGGTGTGCTAATGCGAACACAAGTTGTTAAGGTTCAGATCCAACACCACCCCACTCATCATAGCTGTTTACCTCTTTCAGATGTTTTTATTACCCACTCCATCATTCCCTCTCAGGTCAGTGTCCATCTCCACACACATCATTGTGCTGTGTCCCTGCTGCCCACGGGGCCTCGGGGGTCAGAAGAATGAGGAGGGAAGGTAAAAGTCATTTGGCTCCCTTTAGGAACACCTCAGAGCACAGCTGGACTGTCACATCTCCACAAACAAGCTGAGGGTTGATGTTTGTGTTGCCAGCTGCATGTGTAAACATCCTGCTTGGTAGACCTGGAGATGTGCTACGTGACTCCCAGTGAGCCGGTCCAGCTGCTGTCAGACATCATTACCCACACAGAGAGGCTGCTCGTCTGTCTAATAAGGTCCCTCTTTGTCTCAAACACCCTTCCAGCTGTCAGCCTTTATAGACGTATGAGGATGTGAAAGTGTTGGTGCTTGTTTAAAACAAAACGCCAAGGAGCTCTGGACCACGAAAAGAACACTTATGATGGTCTGGACCAGGAAACCGAATGGTCAACCAGAGATTGTTTAAAGTCCCATTAGTCATCACACACTGGTGAAATTTTATCTCTGCATAAGACCCATCCCCGTGGGGGCCGGTGAGCTGCAGGAGTGGCTGTGCTCGGGAACCATTTGGTGGTTTAACCCCCAATCCAGCCCCATTAAAGCTGGGTGTCCAGCAGGGAGGTGTTGGGTCCCATTGTTGGAAGTCTTTGGTACGACCCGACCAGGATCTGAACACTGATCTGAGTCCCAGGGCAGACACTCTACCACTAGGCCACTGAGAAGGTGACATGAAAACTGGTTGAGTCTCCTCCTGTTTTATTCTACCACCTTATCAATAGCTTGAATAAATTATATTAGGAGTGGACAGCAAAACATAGCAGTCTTCAGCCAAGATCGTTTCCTTTTAAACAAAACTACAGACATCAGAATATGCATCACCTAGTAACCCATACATCCACTCTAATCTTCATAACACTTCAAAATGATACTCTTGTTTTAAATGAATATGAACAATGGCATCGCTACAATAAAAGTGAAGAGCATAGCGAAAATGAATGTGGTACCATCGTTTAACACGCTTCCCCGATCATCATCATATTTCATCGTTATCAGCCCTTTTAGCCTCCTGTTGGTTGGCTGCTTTGTCTTCTTGTGAGGAAAGCTGTGGACACTTATGTTGGGTCCTTTGCTGTCTTTCGACTGAAAATCACAACCAAAAGCTGTAACACCAGCTAAGCTAAAAGCGAGCGCCAAAGCTAATGTCTGCAACCAATTAGCATCATCATACCACAATGCCTTGAATGCTGTAAAACATGAGTGCCCCATACCTCAAAAATAATACTCGCACCGCGCCCTATGGTCTTCTGTGAAGCGCACTTAAGAGGAAGTGCGCAGTAGGCTCCGAGTGGGTGGTACACAATTGTGTCCAAATTGATACAAGGAGCATTGCGTAATTGACTGCAACGCATGCCGGGATGCTGGTCGTTGTGCTACTTTTTAAAAAACCTTTATTAACAACTTTTAAACAACCAAAGAATTATTTGACAAAAATCTGCATTCAATGCTGCTTTGTCTAAAACATTCAGAGCGTCGCCTAATTGTCCTGAAGTGGAATACTTTCATTTGATAATACATACATTGATATTTTCAGAAAAGGCACTTAAGTCTTTTCTCCCGCAGTAATGGATTGTGGGTAGTACACTTCACCTAAGTGTGCATCGATGCAGGATCGCACAATTGAAGGGCGCAAGTGTGGAAGTGCGAGTATTGGGATCGGGCCTTAGTTTTAAAACAGCTTAAATGGAGTGAAAAAAACATTTGTGAAGATTTTAACAGTGTGTTCGTGTAGCGGGGATACTTTATAACATCTTCTGAACAACGTGTCTTTAAATTCAGGGTTCTTTTTATGGTTATATAATTATATAAAGAGCACATAAAAGTCAAACATTAAATATTGAGCCAGAAGAACAAAGCAGTGAACTATAATGTTGTGTAATCTTGTTTCTTGTGTGACAATAAGATCTCTGAGCAGCATGTCTGATGACGGCATCGTTTCTCATCACTTCACCATTTAGTGGGTCGAGTCCGCATACCACAATAAATCCACTCAAGCTAGCAATTATCATCAAACTATTTTTAAAATTCCTCCATGATGCATAGTTACAGAACCAAAACACACACAAATATCAGATGTGTAACATTGTCGCTCGCTGCTCTCACATCTCACCTACAAATCATCTCCCGACATCAAGGAAGCTCCAGGTGAGGCTGTATCACTACAGCAGTCTGCTGTGACCTGCTGGCACCATCTTCTTCAATTATAGTTGGCTTTCAAATCAATAAAAAGGAAGAGATAAAGCTGTGGAATCACAGGCCTAAGGGACGAAACATGCCGTTTGATGTACTGTCTGAACACCTGAGTAAACTATATTTGTTGGCAATAGCAACACAAAACCAAAGGAGAGGGGAACTACAGCAAGTTCTGCTGTTTGACAAGAAAATAACAGGACAGGAGAAGCTTGTGCAGCTCCCGTCGCCCACACCTTGAGTTCTGACTTCATGTTTCTATATGTTGTGGATCCCAAGAAAGTCTTACTCGTGTGTGTTTTGACTTCCACCTTTATCTTTATTGTCACCATCTTATTAATTACCATTAAATAACACTCATTTTGAACATTTCTCATTTTATTTTTGAGTTGGTTATGGCCACATCATCAAAATTTCAAGAAAACAAAAAGACAAACTTACGAAAGCACATTGTGGTTAGAGCACGAGGGAAGACGGAGCAGTTTATTGTGGTAACGAGAAAGTAAATACCATTCATACAAGGTACAAAAACGCATTCATATGAAAAGGTATCTTTTGAAAACAAGTTTCATTTCTCGTCGTAAAGACAAAGTTGTAATGGTAAAATGGAAATATCCTGCAGTATGTTTGAACCACATCTAAAAGAATGGAGTTTTCCTTCTTTAGGAAGCCATAATCCGTCAGTGTAATGCATTTATGCACAATTCGGTCAAGTTTCATCTAGTGTTGGTGCCTAGGCAAGACCATTAACGCCAAATGATGAGAGTGAATAAACGGCAAACCAAACCAGCAGCTACTTCAGCAACCAGAGGGAGCGGGGGCCACATGAAAAGACCCGCTGTGTAAACTAACAGCAGTAGCTCTAGTAGCGGCAGTTGCTGTCAAAACCAACAGATCCAAGAGATACAACATATGAATGCTACTGCCAGGATACAAGGTCAAGACTGTAAACCAGCAACTAGCAAAGTTCAGTCAGGTACTTCTAGAGGGTCTTCTAGATGATGTGAATGCAGCATCAAGTACAATCCCTACTGAACCAGCACAGAAGCCAATAAGCAGCAACAGTGATCCCCGAGACTCTTGGCAACCTTAAGATGGGCCAAGCTGAACAATGTCCACCATGATGGAGAAGGCTGGAAGCCAAAATCAGGGCATTATGGAAAGATGTGAGCCATTGGTCAGACTCCAGAAGGGTGCCTCCAGAAAGGGATTACCCCAGAATTACAAACTGAGGCCCTGGAAATGGCAAAAAACAGACTCCAAGCCTTGGCTGCCCAACTGAAAAGATACACAAGGGATATAGAAACATTAAAAAAACAGGCTATTTTCCACTGAACCAGCTAAAGTGTAGTCCCAGTGGCAGGGTGATAAACGGTAAATGGCCTATATTTGTGTAGCACCTTTTCAGGGTTCTACAACCCCCCAAGGTGCTTCACAACACAATCAGTCATTCACAGATTCACACTCTTGTGGGGATGAGCTACCATGTAGCCACAGCTGCCCTGGGACGCACTGACAGAGACGAGGCTGCCGAGCACAGGCGCCACCGGTCCCTCCGACCACCACCAGCAGGAGAGGAGGGTTAAGTGTCTTGCCCAAGGACACAATCATGCCGTCTTCATTGTTTAAGAGATGATGATGGTTGCTGTCTGTGAAGTACGCTGCTAAAGTCATCATTTGCATTTTTTTACTGTGTGAGCGTCAGAACGAGCCCCCGCACAGTGAGAACAAACATCCCAGCTCTAAAGCCAATCTTCATCCGCATACGACGTCAGGAGATCGTTTTCGGCCGCTGCTGTAAAAAAAAGTGAAGCATGACCCGGGAAAGATTCTGCCAATCACAATTCAACAACGGATTATGAAAGCTCAAAATGCACGTATTCATCCTGATGTAAGAGGTGAGTCTCCTCTTTGTTTGGTAGTTTTGGTGTTGACATCTTAGCGCACAATGTTCTGTGACTTAAGAAAAAAACAGTAAAAACGCTGGCAGTGAAGAGCTTTTCTGATCAGGAAATGGCTGGCAGTGAATGAGTTAATGATGTACACTAGTTCACCGTCACAGACCAGTTGGCACCACACTCCCATCCTGCATAGGGATGCAAATCCCCACCACCGATTCCATTAGCATCTTGATACTGGACCAGCGATACGACACATCGGCCAAATAGTGAAACCCTCGGTCGACACCGTTCAATACGATTCATCCCAGCTCACGATTCATTCACGATATGACGGTTTGATACAATTCATGAAACGATGTTACAAAACATGTTACAAAGAATTTACAAGCCCACATGTGGTTTTTACACATCACCATTATGTTCCTCTCTCTCTGTGAAGGATGCATTTGATCCTCTTTTATGTTTGATTAATCTATTCATTTAACATGAAAAGAAACATGTTCATCATCAGTCATTGTGAAAACTTTGAACTTTGACAGCTTCCTCTGACGCACAACAAGCTGAAATCTGTTGTTTTCCTGTTTGGGAATCGTACTTACTCTCTCTCCTTCTCCGTGAGCCTGTCCGTGATGGTGTCCTTTATGGAGGAGCGCGAGCCCTTGTGGATCAATGGATATCGGAGAGGCATCTGAAGGAAGCACGAGATCATCAGGACCAGGTGTGCCGTGTAACCCAGGGCGACCGCCACGCTCCCGTCATCTCTAGCTGCAGTGGTGACAGGACTTCAGTCAGCAGACCTACAATGTTCTGCTGGTCCATTTACCAGAGGGCTCTCAGTGAACCAACACATGAAACAGTCCAGGGAACTCATTTACAGCCAATCCATTCACACAGGAGTGGGAACATCAAAGCTACAATGCACAGCGGCATTGGCCAGGATTAATCCTGGAAATATTACATGGAAAAACCTAACGACGCACATTACAACCCAAAACACACCGCAGCTTAAAACATCAATTTCACTGGTCTTTTGCCAGCCTTCACACCTAACCAAATGCGTGAGCACACCCTCAGTCCAGAGGAATCCATAAACCCTAACCTCCAGGAAGCCTGAAGATGAGCTGGTTTGGTTAATGGTCACTTCGACATGAGACCTGCAACGCTATGGTCCTAATCCTCTGAAACATAGAGACAAGCAGCTGGAGAACAAACAGCATGGGGCAGACAGGGCTGGTTGTGGGTCTAATAGGAACCACCAGCAGGGACAGTGGCTAGCTGGTGAGCTCCCACTGACTAAATCTGTCTCTCCGTAAGACATTATGCAGATGAGACACATGTTTATAGGACACATCATATTCCTAACTGGTGACATGTAACTAGGGATGTCACGGTAACCGGTGTGGCAGTAATTCCGGGAAAACTTTGACAATAATAATAAACGTCTTGTTTTCAAAAAATATAAACATATTATCTCAGTTTATTAATGATCACCTGCTACTGGAGAGGCTGAAAGACTGGGTAGGCCTATCAGGATCTGCTCTGGAGTGATTCTCCTCTTTTCTTTCTGAGCGCTCCTTTTCTGTGGCCGTCTCAAAGTTTAGGTCCTCCACCACCTCTCTTACCCATGGTGTCCCACAAGGTTCTGTGCTGGGGCCTCTGCTCTTCCTCCTCTATCTGCTTCCTCTTCAGCACACCCTGAGCTCCTTTAAAGGAATCTCCTACCATCTTTATGCAGATGACATTCAACTGTACATCTCCTTTAAGCCCCAAGAGATGTCTAAGCTGCAGATGTTACACACCTGTTTAAACTATCAAAACCTGGATGGCTGGGAGCTTTCTTCAGCTGAATGAAGATAAGACTGAGATCCTCATCTGTGCCCCAAACAAGCTGGTTCCCAAAGTCAGAGACCCTCTTGGTCGGCTTGCTTCTCACAACAAACCCTCAATCAGGAATCTTGGTGTGACCTTTGACCCAGCTCTCACCCTGGATTCTCATGTCAGTTCTCTTGTTCGCTCTTCCTTCTTCCGTCTCAGGAACATTGCTAAGCTGAGTCCCATTCTGTCCCTGTTGTGTAATTTAACTGCTTGGTAAACATGTTAGTGGGGCTGCATAAGAACCTAGAATGAGTGCCCAGCTTCTCCTGTCTGCTGCATGGGAACAGTTGTTAAGAGCAGGCGGCTGGCTGTTCCTTTTCCCGGGGCAGCCGGGACTCGCGGACCGCTCCGATGCGAGGCTGTAGTCATGCTGGTCACTTGTGGATTTTTGAGGAAGACCACAGAAACACTGCAGCTATTTACTTGAAGAAACTTCATTTTGAGTCCCTCAACTGCATTTTTCTCGTCAAAAACGTCCAGAAAAACTCTGTTAGCTTTGGGTTAGCATGTAGCTACTGTCCCGCTGATCTCCGACAGTGGAGCATGAGCTGATGTAAAAGGCCACAGCGCCCGGCTACGATCACAGCGGTCTGAGGCTCCACTTGTACTTTAACAGTCCCGGTCAATATTAGATATCCACAGGCGACCAGCATGACTACAGCCTCGCACAGGAGCCAGGTGGCGGAGTAGGTGGGCTACACCAGTCCCCAGAGCCTCTTATTAGCTTCTTGGGTTAGCTAAGTTAGCTAGTTGCTACATTGGTTCATTTCTTCCAACTGTAACAGCCCCACCTCTATTTCAATTTTTGGATTGTCTGGGCGTGATGAGAGGTGTGACAACGTCAAGATGGGAACCTCCCATTTGGAAACAAACCCTTATAATTCAAGCCTATGGGCATAAATGTCCAGTATACATGTTGATGTCTTTGACTCAGCTCTCACTCTGGATTCTCATGTCTTTCTTTTTTTTTCTCTCCCTTTCTTGCAATTTTTAAATCACAATCTTTTTATTTTTTCTCAATTCAAGTTTATTTATAAAGCGCCAAATCACGACAAGAGTCTTCTCAAGGCACTTCGCATAATAAAACATCCAACACAGGTCAGTTCATTAAGCCAATCAGTAAAAAGTTTCCTATATAAGGAACCCAGCAGGTTGCATAGAGTCGCTGACTAGTGTCAGACTCTTTACAGCAACCCTCATACTAAGCAAGCATGCAGCGACTGTGGAGAGGAAAACTCCCTTTTAACAGGAAGAAACCTCCAGAGGATCCTGGCTCAGTATAAGCAGCCATCCACCACGACTCACTGGGGATGGAGAAGACAGAGCAGACACAGACACACACACACACAGACACACACACACACACACACACACACACAGACACACAGACACACACACACACACACACACACACACACACACACACACACACACACACACACACACACACACACACACACACACACACACACACACAGAGAGAGAGAGAGAGAGGGGGAGACACACACACCATAAATTACCTTGAAAATCATCTGAGTTTGGCAGCTTGACTCCACAGATGACATAATCTGACTGATTGACCTAGGGTTTAAAGGTGAGAAGGTTGGGGTTAAAGATGGTGGAGAGAGCATCAGAACCAGTATCAAAACCAGAACATGGGCTGTAAGATTGTGCTGCAGGCAGATGGACTTTATTTCTGTAACCTGTGATGTTAGCATCTTAAGTATTAGCATGTCTTCCAGGAGTGAGTGATCATGACATGTTTGTGCCAGAGCTGTGAGGAACTGAACTCTGAAGTTTTGAAACATGAACTGTGAAGTTATTTGGATCCTGTTTGACCACAATCCTGGAGAACAAAGACCTGATGTGTGGTGTGGTTGATCTAAACGTCTCACAAGCTACAGCAATCTAAAACCTACAAACTTTGACCATCTTCAGCTGGATCCTGCTCACCATGGCCTGACCTTCATTTCCTTATTCCACACAAAAATAACCTGAGGTGATCAGTAAACAGTGTGAAGTCACCTGTATGCTCCACAGAATCACAACTCAGTACAAAAGTGGTGTTGTTGTTGGACCTCCTGCTCAGTTTAATGGCTCTTTGTCATCCTCTGAACGAGGAAATGGGGAGGGGGGTGCAATCTTTACTCGTAACAAAAATAGCCTGAGGTGATGTGATTGCATCCAGACTGCTGCCTGTCCTCCCGCAGCTGAAGCGCAGAGAGAAACAATTACTGTGTGTGTGTGTGTGCGTGTGTGTGTGTGTGTGTGTGTGTGTGTGTGTGTGTGTGTGTGTGTGTGTGTGTGTGTGTGTGTGTGTGTGTGTGTGTGTGTGTGTGTGTGTGTGTGTGTGTGTGTGTGTGTGTGTGTGTGTGTGTGTGTGCGCGCGCTCCTGAGACAGACAGCTTCGGTCAGAGGCATGTTTCCTCCTCAGTAACCTGAATGATAATACAGGAAGGATACAGGAAGCCTCCGCAGTCTCATTCGATCCACCAATCGGAGGCTCCCCCTAAAGGTAAGCGTGAATTTAAGACAGCCAATCAGTTGGAAGTGGGTGTGTTGGACCAGTTCAGCCCGAAGCAGACCGCCTTGGGAGGGGGGGCTTAAAAAATGACCGGTTGTGCACAGGCTAGCCAGGCGGGAACACACCACAGACTACAACTGATTCTATTTAACGTGGCGTTTTGTGCCACTGATGCTTTCCGTGTGAAAAGGGCTTTGCCTGTTGCTACGTAGGCGCTAGCATCAACAACCTCCTGAAGACGGAGCCTTCCCGGAACCTGGACTAATGGCTGAGCCTTGATCACTCACAAACATTATTCTGCTGCTCTGATGTTTTGGAAGACAGATTGTGGCCTTGTTGTACTTGCTGGCTGTCTGGGACCACATCATGTGCCCTGGGTGAGCAGCACCAGTTTAGGGCAAAAAGGGGGCCTAACAGAGATCCCTGAGGCACTCCTCAGGTGAGTTCGGATGGATTAATTTATCTGCTTATTTCCAGTAACATTTGCCGAAAGATTTGTGCTGTAATCAGATTTTATTTGACTTCCACTAAATGCTAATTTTAGATTTGATATTGCAGAAAATGGGGAGAACTTGCTTTGCCATCAAATTTAAAAGCTGTCCCTTGTTAATTAAAGTCAGGCAGGATGGTTTGTTTGACTGTTTCCAGGCGAGCAAATTTCAAGTGTACCACGAGATACTGGTAGCTCGCAGACAATGTGTTGGAGAAGCCTGTTGTAAACCATGCTGTTTTAAAACAACAGCTTCTTTGTTTGGGATTGTCTGAACATGCAATCTCATGGTTCAAAGACTACGTGAAGGACAGAACTCAATGTGTTAAACATGATGGGTTGTCCTCTGAATAGGGATGCACCGATGGATCGGCATTTGATCGTAATCGGCCGATAGCGCCCCTATCGGTTTTGATCGGAGTTTTCAAAATAGATCAAAGCAAACCGATCAGGTAGGGTTGTCACGGTAACCAGTGTAGCGGTAAACCCCAGTAAAAAAAAAAAGTTGACAATAATAATAATAACCATCTTGTTTTTTTAAAAAACTATATTATCTTGGTGGGTTTACCGTGGCTGCGGTGTAGGCGTGGTGACCCTTACCAGCCACCGTATCATCTGCTGAAGTTGCAGGACCGGCGGCAAATGCTCGCTTTGCGGTTTACAACCAAAACTTTCTTGAAGCTAAAGCTGAAATAATGGCCAAAGGAGGAGACGGCAGCGCTCAGGAGGACATTTTTTATCCCTCAAAGAAGACAAAGTCGGAATTACGAGCATCTTTTAGATATTTGAAGAATGCCGAGGGAGTTTATAGAAGACGGAAGGCTATCCTGTTTGCAGCACGTGCAGAAAAAGAGATGGACTGCACAGGGACTGTGGAGGACAGGCACCTGTAGGAGCGGCTTGTCAAAAACGTAATGAGCGTGCTTCGATTGCAATAAAAAGCAAGTTATGTCCAAGATAAATGAAAGTCTGCAGCAGTGCTGAGACCTCCCTCATACCCCCTTTTTGATGAATATCAATCGTAGACCTGCCCAATCCAGCTGCTCTGTTTCAGTCACATGACCCAGTGTTGTGTTTTCACCTAAACTGACCCAAATACTGACTTGTATAAAGTAGCTGCTTCTCTAATAATCGATTCCCTATAAACTGACCATTTCATTGTGTTTATTTCTTAATTCTAATTTTGCTTATCATTTACTTTTTCTTGCACCAAGTATCGCAGCAGTTTCCTAATGTTGTGATTCTCCCACATATGGCATGGTGGCACAGTTGTTAGCACTGTTGCTTCACAGCAAGACGGTTGCAGGTTCGAAACTTGGCTGCGGCCATTCTGCGTGGAGTTGCATGTTCTCCCCAAGCATTTGTGGGTTTCCCCCACAGATCACAACATGTCCTAAAGGTAACAATTGTACGTCGTTTGGATAAAAGCATCTGCCAGATAGACCAACATAAACCCTTTCTGATTCAGATTTTTACCTCCATTGCATACTCTTTTGTAAAAAGGACATGATTGTGCAACATTACCGCCAAGGTGTGACCACTTAAAGGGACTGTAAGTAGGGATGGGTACCGAATTCGGTACTTTTTAAGGTACCGACCGAATTCCATAGTACCGACTGAGCACCGACTCACGTCATTTCAAACGGTGCCTCGTTTCGGTATGCGTCCTTCATAACGAGAACTTGCTAAGACAGCTGCGCATGCGCAAGAGCATTATGCCGTCGCTCGCTGTGAGCCAGTTGTAAACAGTAGAAAGGTAGAAAGAATGCACGCTAAAGCTTGGGTCCACTTCACTAAATGTGATGGGTAACTGGGTGATGATGAAACCAGCGACAACGATCTAAGTGAGACATCCTCATCTTAATCTGCTCCGGTAGGTAAATAAAATGTTTAAGATAACGTTAGCTTGACATGTTCGCTTCCGTTTCGCTAATTGTGTGTTCGCTTTCTCCTCGGAACTCCGAATTTCTGACTAGAAGAACATGAAAGCGCTCTAAAGTTTGGCTTCACTTTACTAAGTGCGACGGGTGATTGGGTGAAGATGAAACCAGCGACAACGATCTAAGTGTAAGGCATCATCGTTTTAATCTGCTCCAGCAGCTAAATAAACTGTTTAAGATAACGTTAGCTTGATATGTTAGCTTCCATTGCCACCATTGTTGTCAGCTAATGGTGCGTTCGCTTTCTCCTCGGAAATTCTAACTTAGGAAAAATCAGCGGAAAAAGGATGGCAAAAGGAATGAAGATACACAGTAAATTTAGATCACAGAAAAGATGTTTGCTTCAGTTTAATTATCAGCTTATAAGGACGATGTTAAAATACAAATAGTTGAATGTTATTTATCGTGATATTTATCAAATATTGTTATATATTGAGAAAAAAATATATTTAATTATAAAAGAGAATTAAAATAATAAACACTCAAAAGTATCAAAAATTGGTACCGTTAAGTACCGGTATCGATTCCTAGGTACCGGGAATTAGTACCGAATCGATTCAAATGTCAAAGGTACCCATCCCTAACTGTAAGGAAGTTTGACAGTCAAAACATGCATAGAAATAATACATTTCTTCTTCATACATTCTCCTGCAATGCCCTGGTCCTGTAGAATGAGCCCTGGCATTTTTACTGTGATGTGTGATTGCCTGTTTTTCTGTAAAATCACAGAAAAAGAGAGTTGTTCGGGTCGAGCAGGCTGCTTCATGCACGTTCACGCTGAGGCATTGCCCGTAGCATTTGTTATCCGTAGCTTTAGCAGCAGAGTGAGGTAGTGCCAAGTCAGCGACTTTGTCGCTGTTCCTAACGCCTAGTGATGAACCTAGCTACATTTCTGAGGACCCTTAGCTACTTTCTTCTAGATATTTCCTGCAAATTAGCAACAAAATAGCCATTTACGCTCCGAATCGTTCTTTTGATTGACATTGTTTCAGCTGTCATCAAGGATATAAACATTTTAGATAAGATTCAATGTCACTGGTGCTTTAGCTCACCTAGTAAGACGGCTGACTCTCATGTTGAGGACCTGGGTTTGACTCCAGGTGTGAACATAATTTGTTATTTGGAGTTTCTTTTTTAAATTAAGAATTTTTTTTTACAGTAATAAGACGCCCAAATTTTTATTTGACACTCGCCAAAAGGCACTGAATTCACGGATAAAAAAGATGTGGGTTCAACTTTCATTTTGGAACAATTTTTCAAGCAAGGGAAAGGAATGATCTGAGCATGTCGGAGGACTGACCCATCATAAACCTTTGTCAGCTGTGCTGAAGAGAAAGGTACAGAACCAAATTATTTAATTAATTAGCTGTGTGTTCTGCTGTCCCCTGTCCTCCAGGCCACACACACACTGCACGTTCGGCTGGCCGACGAGATAGTGCAGCTGCAGAGACAGAGGCACATTATTTTTATTAATTTGCTGTGCTCTCCTGTCCTCCGGGCCACAAACACACACACACACACACACACAGGACCGTCTCAGCGTACAGCATGCGCACCTCATGCACGAGCTTACTTTTGAAGCTGCAGTTACGCGTTAGGCCTGAGTGGCGATAGCGAGCATTAAAACTTCAAACTTCCTTACAGTCCCTTGAAAGACAACCTGAGGCTCCCTGACGCTGACATGGTGTTGTGGCAAAATGACAGCATTGTTTTTATAACACGGCTATGGAAAGCTAGCTTTGGTGTTGGGTTTGCTCACACAGAACTGGGCAAAAGGGCCTTCGTCCACTCTGCTCCGTCTTCATGAAACAGGTTACAGGAAGACTAATGGAAACTAACCAAGTTGATCTCCTTGGATACAATTAAAACCGGACTGAAAACACGAGCTGGACTGCCTGAGTTGTAACTGCCTTCTGTAACTTTGTACATAACCATCTGTGTAACTGAGAAATGTTGTAACTGTATGATTTGCTGCCTCTTAACCAGGACTCCCTTGAAAATGAGGTTTTTATTCTCAGTGGTAACTTCCTGGTTAAATAAAGAATACATAAAATAAAATAGTCTTAGGGACAAGACCTTCGTTTGGGAGCAGAAGCACTTTATTAAAGGTGTGCTGATCAGTCAGGTGGGTTCTACCTACCACATGAATGGGGTAGATGTAGGAGAGCTCAGAGAGGAGCTGGCGACAGCGAAAGGTGAGCTGGGCGTTGGACTTCAGGAACTGCTCTCTGAGAACATCAGACCACAGACAATCAGAAACACACAGGAGCAGGCTGGAGGACTCAGATATTGCATGGCTTCTACTTTTTAAGTAAAAACATGTTCAGCATTTAACCTTCCTTTTACCTATAAACCGCTTAACTTTTGGATGTTGATGCTTTTTTTAAAACTTTATAAAATTCTACAAGAATAAGAAGATGAAACGGACTGTGTGTGTGTGTGTGTGTGTGTGTGTGTGTGTGTGTGTGTGTGTGTGTGTGTGTGTGTGTGTGTGTGTGTGTGTGTGTGTGTGTGTGTGTGTGTGTGTGTATGTGTGTAATAAGATTACACGCTGCTCCTTGCATCCCACCACACTCTCATAGCCAGGGTGTTCGTGTGTCAGCTGCAGCTTATTTATGCTTCCACCACATTCCTGAAAGGTCAGTTGTTGTCTTGCTTGTGGCGGATGTCAAGCTTGAATTCAGCTTTGTTTGTCTGACAAATGCCTGGCTAGTGCAGCGGAGCAACCAGGGCCCAAAAGACTCAGAAAACAGGAAATTAATACGGCCAATGCTTCATCTGCCCAACATCTAATCCCAGGATGTTCTCTCCAGCAGCAGGTTATATTTATCATTACAAATGTCCTCTGTAGACATATCTGAGTAAGGTGTTGATGCAGAACAACACACACACACCTCTTGCCGGTGCATTCCTTCTGCAGCTTGGTTAAGGACTCTCTCTCCTCCTTCAGACTTTGGTGTTGAGCTGAGAATACTTCCTCTGAAAGAGAAAACACGAAATGATGAACATCAGGTGGGTTCTTTTGACCCTCCTTCCACGGTAAACACATCAAACGGCCTTTCTGATCACACCATTTCCTTTTGACACCACATAAAACCAAACTACATATGTATGCAAATGACAGGCCTCCGTAAACACAGCGTTTGGCTCATGCAGTAAAACCAGGACCATCCTGATGGTGGAGGTGCAGCACGGGCAGGCTCAGGCAGCAGCACAAACCACAAGCATGTGGAATAACCATCATCTAGTCCTGTAACACAATATGATTTAATGCCTGTGACAAAACTCATGTTGTCGGCTCTAATAGAGCACATCCAAATGTGAGAAGACTTCCAGCCTCATTATCTCTGACACGAGGTATAAAGTCAGAATTACTAACATTTCTCTGAAGTCATCTAGCCATCCTCTAGCTGTTACAGTAAATGCCTTAGGGATCTACAACCCCCCAAGGTGCTTCACAACACAATCAGTCATTCACCCATTCACACGCTGGTGGGGATGAGCTACGATGTAGCCACAGCTGCCCTGGGGCGCACTGACAGAGGTGAGGCTAACGTACACAGACGCCACCGGTCCCTCCGACCACCACCAGCAGGCAAGGCATGTCAGGTGTTTTGCCCAAGGACTCAACAGCTGCATTCTCTTGTGGGAGCCGGGATCTAGCCTGCAACCTTCTGATTACTGGACAACCTGCTCTACCCCGAGCTGCTGTGCTGCATCACATTTCCCACGAGTACTTACACATTTCTGTCCCACCCAGGACACTCCTCCTGAACAGCCTCTGTTCAGAGAAACAGAGGCACTAACGGTGTGTTGCTGCCATTCTGACGTACTGGTTCCAGCCCAAACACCTCTGTCACCTCCTCATTCCTGTAGGGCAGACCTGGGCATTTTACGGCCCGCGGGCCACATCCGGCCCTTTGGTTGACTTTGACCGGCCCGCGTAAGGTTAATTGGAAATTACAAAATAAATGTATTTTCTCATTTTACCTCATGCATGGGCTAAGGCTGCATTGCTTTTATTTTGAAGTTGTATTTTACGTGCACAATGACGCAATACGTATAGCAACAAGTGCCCGCGGTTGACATGGTGATTGTAGCCTGAGAAATGTCCGCTCATGCAAAAAAAAAAAAAAAAAGAAAAGAAAGATGCCGAATGCAGGATTTTCAACAAAAATTGGACTGCTAAGTATTTTTTTTACTGAAGTCGGAGGTAAAACCGTGTGTTTGGTTTGCGGGGAGGAGATTGCCGTGTTTAAGGACTACAATTTGAGTCGGCATTACGACAAGAAACACTCGGAAAAATACAAGAACTTGTCTGATGCTGAGAGGGCACGGACATCCGAAGCTTTGCTAGCAAAGTTGCAAAAGCAGCAAGGCTTTTTTACTAAGCTTCACACATCCAGGGATGCAGCAACCAGGACCAGCTTTGTGATATCCCACAAAATAGCTAAAAACAGCGAACCGTGACCAGGAGGATCGAGGACATTGCGGGGAACCTGGAGCTTCAGCTGCAACGTGAAGTGGCAAGTTTTGACTTTTTCTCATTAGACGGGAGCTGTGATGTCCGGGACACAGCCCAGCTGCTCGTATTTGTCCGGGGATAACGGACTTCAAGCTCACAGAGGAGCGGGCAGCAATGCGGTCGATGAGAGGGACAACGACAGGGAGTGATCTTTTTACAGAGGTAAATGCGTGCATGGACACTCTGGGATTGAAATGGGAGAGACTGTCACAGCCGGGCGTACACTGTGCGACTTTTTCACTTTTTTGAGCCGATTTTCCAGTCGTGCGAGAATCCACGACATCGGGGCGAGTTTTGCGCCGAGCGGTCGTGTAGTGTACAGGGGGTTACGAGAGGCGATTAACACCACGTGACCAGCCGCCGATCAGCAGTCGTGAGGTCGCACTCTGGTGTGTTTAATATTTCGCTCGTCCCTCGTGAGGGTATCGCACTGTTGAAGCGGCGCTGCGAGCAGCTGCGACCCAAAAAGTATCAGAACCACTCACGGCGCATGCGCGCGCAATCCTGCATCAACACTTGTCGCTCGCTATTTCCCTAATAACACACGCTGTTCGTTTTTGTTTCTACACGTTTTTTTTACTCACAAAGATTGTCAAGAAAGCGTGCTTGTCGTGTTCATGTCAAATTAAACTGATCACAAAACACAGATTTACTTTCTTTATTTCGTTTTCCTCATCCAACCCCCATAAATCCCTGTGTGTCCTCCAGCAGCACTCCCGAAGGACAACAGGCAAAACAAGACAAAAAAGTCTGACGTGTTGAGTAAAAACGGCTATTTTTAGCACATTTTTAGGGCCGACGTGTTGCTACCAGACGTACAGTGTGAGCAGTCAGGTCGCATGCGAGAACTGGGTCGTGCAGTGTGAGCACATGACTCGTGAGATCTGCTCTGCGGGGAAGTCGTACAGTTTGAGCTGAAGCTGAGTGCTGCGAGTGAAAAAGTCGCACAGTGTACGTCCGGCTTTACAGGGAAAAATGTCGGACTTTTGAAACGCATGCAAGATAAAGTGACAGAAATCGATGCAGATCAAAAATAGGTGTTTTTGCATTGTATTATACACCAACATGTGTTGTGCAAGTCAGTGCTAAAAATCAACCATGTTACTGATGTTGTTACTAAAATAATAAACTTCATCAGGGCGCGGGCGATGAATCACAGACAGTTTGTGGCTCTTGTGGAGGACTCCACACAGCTGTCAGATGGCTCAGCCTGGGGAAAGTGCTGAAGAGGGTTTGGGACTCGAAAGCAGAGATTCAGGATCTCTGCTGGATTTCTACTCTTCTCTTAAGGAGGATTTTCCAAAACTGAAGAGACATGCTCAGAAGATGTTGGTTCTCTTCAGCTCTACCTACATTTGTGAACAAACATTTTCAATGATGAAGTTTACAAAATCCAGGTAAAGATCCTCTCTCACTGATGGATCATTTGTCAGCTGTGCTTCGCTTCTCCACCTCAGACATCCAACCTGACTTTGATGCACTCGTTAAAGCCCAGCAGAGACTAGATTTCTCTCACTGAATAAGAAAAAAATTGCTTTAAAACACAAAATAAGGTGTTTGGACCACAAATGTAGGCAACTAGCAGTGAACTGGGACACTTTTTTTAAACCTCTTTCTCAAGATCACAGTTCAGTGATTTTATTTTACAGACGATACTGTGTGTCTGTAGAATGCTAAGAACCTCTTTCCAACAATATTTGAAACTCAGAATGTGCTTTGGAGTGAATGTGACTGAAACTGTTAACTAATATAAGTCACAAATGTTTAACAAAAACCAAATGTGCACACTTTGTTTACCATTGCCTTGGTAAATTTGTATAAATCACATTTTTGTAAGCCAACCTCACTTTTTCCTTTTTGCTCATTTATAACATATAGTCTACTCTTACCAGCTTGAAGAAACAATGGTATTTACTGCTTTTTATAAAGAAATACCATTAATATTATGCATAATTGACTTCAGCCTTTTGGCCTGCGGCCCTCCACAATATTTTCTATTTCTCATGTGGCCCCATGGAAAAAATAATTGCCCACCCCTGCTGTAGGGTAAGTAGCCTTCTGAGTTAGTTTACAGACAGTACTAGCATCCATTCACCAGTGCTCTGTGACTTCTGGTAAATCTGAGGGACTGATGATCAGGAACATGGAGATCTCAGGGTTTCCCTTACATAGGCGTAGCTGTGGCGGCCCACCACGGCTGAAATCCCACCGCCACGCCTACAAGATCCCAAGTTTTTTTTTTTTTTGGCGCCGTTTCCCAAAGAAGCAGCGGGAACTACTATGTTGTCACTTGTCAATCAATCAATCAATAAATCAATCAATCAATCAATCAATCAATCAATCAATCAAACCTTTATTTATAAAACACCTTCCGCAACCCTGTCGGGAAGCCCAAGGCGCTAAACACGGTACATGAGAAAAGTTAAATATGATGAATAAATCGAAAATAAAAGCAATTCAAATATTACAAACACAAAAAAAGGTAAAACATTAAAGTAGAAGACAAATGGGTAAAACAAGGGATAAAGAGACCAATGAAAACAGGGAAATAAAATCAACATAAAAGAGGGCCAAATTCAAACACGTTCAAGGAACGCCAAGTGGAGGAGGTGAGTTTTTAGGCGACTCTTAAAGACTGGCAGAGATGGGGACAGCCTAACTGAGGGTGGCAACTGGTTCCAGAGTGATGGTGCTAGGACTGAGAAAGGCCGGTCCCCGCGAGTACGGCACCTAGAACGAGGGACAGCAAGCAGGCCTTGGTCAGAGGACTGCAGAGCGCGTGATGGGGAGTGTCTGTTCAGGAGTGTGGCTAGATAGGGTGGAGCACCACCCTGGAAGAAATTGTAAACAAAGATGAGGAGCTTAAAGTGTGAACGATAACAGACTGGAAGCCAGTGCAGGGAGGCCAGAACCGGACTGATGTGGTCCCGTTTCCTGGTCCCAGTCAGAAACCTGGCTGCGCTGTTCTGCACAACCTGTAGGCGGCACAGTGATGACTGACCCAACCCTGCATAGAGAGAGTTGCAATAATCAAGCCTAAAAATTACAAAAGCATGGAGTACCCGCTCCAGGTGGTCTCTTGACAGCATAGGCTTGATTTTTGCAAGGCGTCTCAGGTGAAAGAAACTGGACCGGATCACAGAGTTGATGTGAGCATCAGATTTAAGTCCAGCTTCAATTTTCACCCCCAGACTGGTGATGACTGGTTTTGAGTAGGGAGAAAGAGCCTGAGAGGTCAGGTGTTTTCATCTGAACCCTTAAAACCTCCAGCAGGCTACGCTGCACTATTGACGTGTTAGTGCGCGGCGCTAACAACTTAGCGCCGTGACATGTCTCGGAGAAAGCGTAAAGACACGTTGGACGCTTCTTCTGAAGCGGGAAAATAATACTTCTTTAAGCAGAGCACGACGTCGCCTCGGCTCGTTCACCCTCTGCCGAGCCGTACTGAGCTCGA